CTGGCCACACACACACACACACACACACGCATAAATAAAAATTTAAAAAAAAAGTACAAGTCCTATGTCCATCCGTATATGCTTAGGAGCCACTCATGTGAATGATGCTTGCTTCTGTGGCCACCTACTGGCAGAATAAACACATACCTTGAATCCCACAGTACTTGCTAGCTTCTCCTTTCAGCTTGCATTGGAAATGTTTTTCAGAGTCTAGGCCATGCTGTTATAAAGGGCTGTGACAGTGTAGACCCCCTAAGGAACCCCTGCTGCCTTCCTCTCACTGTGAATCTGATCATCAGGACTACATGTGTCTGACCTCAGTAGTATGAAGATAAGAAGGAAATGATGAGAGGTTGGGGTCAGAGTGCTGGGTTTCTGTTATTTAACAAAATCACATAAAAGGCTGGGTAGATATAGCTCAGTGGCACAAGTCCCTGCCTGGCAAGCACAAGGTCCTGGGTTTGACGCCTGGTAGCCAAAATGAAACAAAATAGAAAATCAGATAACAAGTTGCTAACTGACGGACAAAGCAGAGTGTGATCCTAATGACACCTGGGCTGGGCTCACACATAACCACAGTCTATTAGAATGAGAAAAATTTGGCCCTCTCATGGACCAGTCTCTGCTTCCTTACAAGATTAACTTGTTTAATCTCCATACTGAGAACTGGTGTATTATTAGGAACTATTTCTAAATATAAAAAGAACCAAGGGATTGGAGCCCTAATGAGAGGCTAAGAACAACACAGAGTAGGGCCCAGTAATTTAAGACTTATAAGGGTTGGGGAGATAGCTCAGAGGCATAAGCACTATCTGGCAGGTGCAAGGTTCTGAGTCTGATTCCCAGAACCCCAGGTGTGCTGTGCTGGCCCCCGAGCTGGGAGTAGTGGCAATGCTTATAATCCCAACACTCAGGAGGCTGAGACAGGAGGATCGCTATGGCCTGGGGGCTACAAAAAGTGAGCAAAGGGCCAGTATGAACTGCATAGCAAGGCCCTGTCTCAAAAACAAAACAAAATCTTCCAAAGGGCCGGCCCTATAGCTCAACAGACTAAAGCACCTGCTTAGGCAGAGCATAGCGGCTGGGGTTGGATCTCCAGCTTGCTGGGCCGGCCCCGCCCCTGGGACACACGGAGACTGGGTGTGGTGGCACACGCCTGTAATCCTAGCACTTGGGAGGCTGAAAACAGGAGAATCACTACAAGTCCAATCTGTGTAGTGAGACCCTGTAGACCCTATAGACCCTGTCCTAAATACAATAAAAAAA